TTACTTTATTTTTAATACTTTTATATTCTTAAAATAACACCTTTTTGTGGTCAGGAAAAACAAAGGCAAAATTACTTTAGTTAAATGAATTAATACATGTACTAAACTCCTTACCTTTGAGCCAATTCCATCTCATAGCGATCGGTTAGACAGGACAAACTACCTCACAGGGTTTCCAAGGCTATAAATCTTTATAGAAGGAGACTGCTTCATCTTTCTCCTGCGGAGCCACTAGTGGGTTCGAACTGCCAACATTTTTTTGGTTATTAGCCGAATGCTTTAACCACCTGAGCCCCTTAATGCCAAACTCACTGCCATGGAGTCAGATCCCACTCATAGCAACCCCTCCTGGGATTTCCCAGGCGGTATTACTGCAGAAATAGATCTTCCTTCCGAGGAGTGGCTGGTGAGTTTGAACCACCAGCCTTCTGGTTAGCAGTCAGATGCCTTAGGCGCCACGCTACCAGAGCTTAAGTGGTCTAAAAGTGAGTTATTATTATATTAGTATTTCATTTGAGGAAAAGAATTCCAAATGTAAACAGTAATGTAAATCAATGTCACTAAATGATACATGTAGAAACGGTTGAATTGGTATATGTTTTTCTGTGTATATTCTCAACAACAAAATTGTGTATAAAATAATGCAGGACACAAAAAAGATATTCCACATAGAATTATTTCTATTGCAAAAATTAGGAGCAAAATAAGTGGCTTACAAGAAGGAACTGGTTAAATTCATTATGTAACAACCATATAATAGAATTCTAAGGAAACATTTAATTAAAATTTATTGAAAATAGTAGTAGGAGTTACATTTTTATTTATGCAATTAGAAAAAGTTTAAAAAATATTCATGATACACAGAGTTGGTGAGGTTATGGAAAAACAGTTATTTGCATGCATTGTGAGGATATAAAGTAGTACAACCTTTTGGGAGGTCATTTTGGAAATACCAAACTTTAAAGTGTATGTGCTTTGTGACACTGAGTTCCTTTTCTAGGAATTTATCATACAGAAATGCTCCCACACCAAATACGGTCATTATAACAGAAATGCTCCCACACCAAATATGGTCATTATAACAGCTGTCTTAATAATTTTTTTTTAAAAAAGAAAAAGCCTAAATATTCCTTAAAGGGGATTTGTTAAGGAAAGGTTGAATTCATACAATAGAATACTATATAGAGATGAAAAATGATGACAGAATTACATTTGTTAACATGAAAAGTCTAATATGTATTAAGTAAAAAAAAATTGAAATATAATACATATAGTATAATACCACTTTTGTAATAGTGGACACACATTTATTTTTGTGTATTTAAGATAAGAGCATACAGCTAAAATTTGCTATACCAAGATAAGTGAAGTCACAAACTAATTCTTATAAAATTCAGAGTTATATTATTAAGAGATGAATGGAATGACTGATGTAAGCCTCTTTGACTCCCTGGCTGCACAGCCCAAATCCATCAAGGTTTCTGCTGATTTTGGTGCCACCTGGTAACAGTTGTTCACTCAGCACTAGAGTTTAAATATCATCCATGCATTTTACCCTCTGTCTACCCCCCATCACCAATCACATTTTATCCAAAGTTACTGTGGGGTCTTACTCTATTTCTCTATCATATTAGAAATGTGGATGACTATATGTTGAACTATTATCACAGGATATATAAAGGGAATTTTGACTTTCTAAAGAGTCCCCGGGTGACACAAGCAGTTAACCAGATGGTGGGAAGTTGACTCCACACAGAAGCTCCTCGGAAGAAAGGCCTGGTGATTTGCTTCCAAAAAATCAGCCACTGGGAAACCCTATGGAGCACAGTTCTACTCTGACTCCTAAGGGGTGACCATGAGTTGGAATTGACTCCACAACAACTGGTCAACTGGTTGACTTTCTAAGTGTAGCATTCATATATTTAAATTTTTGTCTTTAATAGGCAAGCAGTAATTAATAATATTCAGGAAAAAAAATTGAGATAGATAAAATATTAAAACTATACAGAAGAAATATAACAACATGAGATAGAAATATTTTTATTGAAATCTCTATATAGTCATTAAAATTTATAATATATTGGTACATGAAAAAAACAATTACCCAATTACCCATGTATATGTATGCATTCAAAAAATATTATGGAATGATATACAACAAAATATTAAAAGTGGGTATGACTGGGTGGTTGCTACTTTATGGGTGATTCATAAAGTGAAACCGATGAGAACCGTAACTCGACAAAAATTCCTTGTTTTTCTGGGTCTCAACGTTTTCTTCCTTTGACAGGGAGCAATCATCACTTGTCTGTCATTTTCTATTTAGGAAAATGTTGGAGTTTTCCTTCTCTGACAGGTTTGCACCTAACACAGGTTCTGGTTTTCATAGGTTTTGCTGTAGTATATTCTTTTTTACATTTCTTTATAGACTCTCCTGCATTTTGTTGATGGGCTTGTGTAATTTCTATAATAATAATAACTTTAAAAAACCTGGAAGCAATAGGATCTTATTTTGTAAGACATATTTCACATACATACTCCTTTATAGCTAAGGGCCTCCACAACTGGTTTTAAAATTGAGGTCCTAGCAATGTTTGAATGCCTCACATTTTTTTCCTTTGCCCTGTTGACCTCTGGGAATAGCTACATGTTGTGACCAGTACCAGTTAGAATGAAATAACCTCCCCTCTTCATTCTCTGGGAGCTCTGATGGCATAGTGCCTAAGGCATTTGATTGGTAAACAGAAGGCTGGCAGTTCAAACCCACTAGCCACTCCTTGGGCAGAAGATTGGGGAATCTACTTCATAGAGATTCTGTCTCGGAAACCCAAGCAGGGGTCACAATAAGTCAAAATTGACTCGATGGCAGTGAGTTTGGTTTTTGGTTTTTGGTCTTCATTCTCTGACTATCCCTCCCTGCAATCCCAGTTTCAGATGGTCAAACTGGATTGACATGAAGTATATGGAGGAGGTATCTCTTTCTTAATTTTTACCTGATAAAACCTGATAGTTTTGTCTGCATGTGCTATAAGCCCTAAATATAACAAAATGAAACACTGACCAGTCATGTGCCATCCTCGCAGTCATTGCTATGTTTAAGCCCATTGTCACAGCCACTTTGTCAATCCATCTCCTTGAGAGTCTTCCTCTTTATCTACTTTATCAAGCATGATGTCCATCTCCAGGGACTGGTCCCTCCTGATAACATGCCTAAAGAACATGTTGTTAGGTGCCAACGAGTCGTCTCAGACTCATAGCAACCCTATGTACAGCAGAACAAAACACCACCTGGTCCCATGTCAGCTCCATGATCCCTGCTATATTTGAGCCCATCCCAACAGCCACTGTGGCAATCCATCTCGTTGAAGGCCTTATCCTCCTTCATCGACCCATCCACTTT